GGGGGGGGGGGTGCTGGACTGAATTTGCCCGAATGACAGAATGACATGACGTCATAGATTTCGTGACGTCCTCATAAAATTATATAATCTGAGAAGACTACAAATGAAAGGCTTTCCTTTGAAGATCCAATGATTCCATCTGGAGTGACATTTTACCTTTTACCATTGTGAACCAATGGAGAATGCACCTCTTTATAATCACGGTCGATTGCATTCCTCGCACCGGTACGCGATGTCGGTACTGTCTTTTGCGAGATGCCATACGCTTTATTAGAGCTTGGCTATTGAGTGTTGTAATCTTCTAGGTGATTGTTTCCATAGCGATCATGGAGTGAATGGTCGTAAAATCAATAATTTTTTAATGATTGTAAAAAAATCGCGCACTTTTATGTCTATCTAAAAGTCTAAAATTAGTCACATTAGGTCATTGTACAGTATTTGTACAGTTACGTCAATGTCAATTATAATGTAGTATCTATTTTCAGTGACTGCTGTGTCATAGCCGCGGTGCCGCCCAAGACCAGAGACTGCATTTACGCAATCAATGCTATCAAAGGAGATAAACATTACTGATCCGATTGTTACTACGAACCTGACTTATAACACACCTTCGCAATATGTGTAGCTATATATACTATATACTTATACAGGTTGTATAAAAAAACTGAACAGATTTGAAATTGCTCTCAATTTCGCAAAACAGCTATTAGTATCCAGTTTTTTATGTATATAGCGGCTTTGGGTACTTATAATGTAGAATAATGGCAAAAATTTCTCGAACTCAAATTTTGTAAACCAGGGGATCGAGTGTGTCTTTTCATTTTTTCAGTAAAAAAATCAGCCTTTCGCATGCTTAATTAATGCCTTTACCTAATTTGCATATTGCTGACATATGCAAATTAGACAAAGGCATTAATTAAGCATGCAAATTGCTGATTTTTAGGAAAAAATGTAACTTTGCGTGAATAGTTAAAGTGCCCCTGACACAAAAAAATTTCAGTCTATTGAAAGTACTCATTTAGTATAGTGTTCTAGCGAAAGAATGTTTCGATTTCATCAAAACGAAAAAATTTTAGAGCCATTTGAACACGCAAAATTTGAGCTTTTTGTTGGCAGGCGTCCGTGTTCGAAGGAAACTGGAACGAGCGATTTTTGTTACGTCACGCAAGTGAGTCGGCGTATATTCTTTTATTCGACTATACTAGGACTATGAACTCTCCGCGGATATATAAGTAGATTTGTGATCGAAAAAGATATGCCTTTTTACTGTGTTGCAGCTAACTGTACCAATAAAGTATGTTTAAAAGATGGAATAAGTCTACACAATATTCCATACTTCAATGGCAAACACGTGACAAACATGTGCCAAATCTGAGACATGGCGCGACTAAAAAGCAATCGCTAACTGATAAATGGGAGACTAGTTTTACTTTGTGTTTCTCGTATCCCTGACTTTGTTTACCAACAACAGTTTTTATCCGTGAAGTGAAACTGTGATAATAGCGGCAGTTTTTCGACACGTCCGCGTCGAAGATTTGGTAATATTAATGATACCACTAGAGACCTGACGAGCGAGATGCAGCTACAGATCAGCACTTCCAATACATCATATTAACCAGGTATAAAATTCGCTCCAGAATCATCGGACTGATTCTGTTGATTCTGTTGACATAATACTTTATAGAACTTAGAATATAAAAAGTTAAACACTTCAGCGAACAAAACATTCGAGCTGATTAAAACAGATAACTTAACAGACCATCAAGACTCGACTCCCTTGCGTGACGTCACAATAAATGCTAGTGCCAGACTTCTGTCGCCGACGGCCATTAGCCAAAAATATTTGGATTCAAACGGCTCTAAAATTTTTTCGTTTTGATGAAATCGAAACATTCTTTCGCTAGAACACTATACTAAATGAGTACTTTCAATAGACTGAAAAAAAATTTTGTGTCAGGGGCACTTTAAATTGTCTGAAATTTTGTACAGTAATTAAAAACCCCAACAAATGTTCCATCTATTAACTCCAAATATGATTAAAGCTTTTAAATTTTGTGCGCAAGCCATTTTTAGTTTGTTGGAAAAGACACCCCCCCTGGTTCACAAAATTTGAGTTCGAGAAATTTTTTTCATTATTCTTTGTTCCTTTCGTTCTAGCCATTTCTGTGGGGATTTATGTCTGTGGTATGTGTGTAAAAATCAAAACCAAATCTGATTAAGCTAGAGCACTTGACCTTTAATAAAGGTTAAATTCCCGAATCCAGCTATGCGATCTATGGTAGTAATAAATATACACAAACGTCAAACGTTGCCATTACAGATTTACAGTGCATGATTAAACCTGTAAAAGTTGAACTTGTTGAAGTAATACTTCTGTTCCACTTTATGGAGCAATGTATTCGTCTAATCAGTTATAATCACCAGACACGTCGGTCGTTGCCCGAATGACAAGACAATTTTTGCCCCTATTCGGGCTGCAGCCCCCCAGCCCCACCCTCCCGTACGCCTATGGTATGTCAAACGATTTTTATCGGCCGACTACAATCGCATCGTGTGCGCCAGGCTTTAGTTAATCATCCGACAAACTACGTTTTGTGCAACGCAATGGACCATTTGCATTATAGACTAAATTTTGACTCTAGACAAAAATTTCATCACAGCTTGAAAGAGCATCACAAAATTAGTAATATTCCACAGTTCCGTTGCGAAATGTTGTAAAATGCGGATAATATAGCCTTGCGAAGTTTGCCGTTTTTCAGTCATTTTGTATTACGCGGGTGAAATTGAAAGCCCAATCGGGTGTTGGGGCATCAATTTCCCGTTTGTAATACAAAATGACTGAAAATTGCAAATTTCGCAAGGCTATATTATCCGCTTTTTACAACATTTCGCAACGAAACTTTGGAATATTACTAATTTTGTGATGCTCTTTCAAGCTGTGATAAAATTTTTGTCTCATAGACTTGTTTAGATCAAAATTTAGTCTATAATGCAAATGGTCCATTAAGTCGTGTAGTTAACTAATCATAGTTAAGGATTTAACTACAGTGATTAACGCTAATCATAGTTAAAGTTAACGACGTTTATACAACCGGCCCCTCGTGATAATCATGTGATATCTTCAGGCATCATTGGAATATATTTTGGCCTTTCCTTCTGTAAATAACGTTCATACCGCTCTTTTTCGTTTGCTCTTATCCTAGCCAGGGGCCGGTTGTATAAAAAACGTCGTTAACTTTAACTATGATTAGCGTTAATCACTGTAGTCAGTTACATCTTTAACTATGATTAGTTAACTACACGACTTAATTGCGTTGCACAAAACATACTTTGTCGGATGATTAACTAATCACGTAGTTAACTTGCGTGGGGCTTGCGTGGGGTGGTTAAACAGTGAAATTACATAAAGTAAAGGCTGTAAAGAGTAATTAACGACCGCTTACAAGCATTTTTAACATAAAATTGTGGACTCGTATTTTGCAAATAGGTGGGAATTCTTTTCAAAAATCAAAATCAAGTAAAAAATAAACAAGAAAACAAGGAAAACATCAGCGAAGAAGGCCGTTTTCACTTGAGAGGTCTACATTAAACGAAAGTGTAACTGTTTGGCAATTATATATCCCGTTTCTTCGTGTAATGGCCCCTACGTCGTCTTCGAGAAATCTTCCCGTGCAAAAATATATTTTGTTTTCGCCAAAAATCAAAGCGATAGCGTTTGA